AGAGAAAAAATGAAGTGAAAAACGTACGGAACGTACCTCATCGAGACGTGGTATCACTTCACGCAAGCACTTTTGAAGATTCTCTACTGAGGCCGTGATTGTCAGAACCCTAAATTACTTCCAATCTATGCATTTTAGAAAATTCCATATAATTTTTTATGTTCATTTAACTGGGATTAAATGAAATATTTTTTTTAAAAGAAAAAAATACGAGTGCAAAATCTGAAACGGTTACCCCCCAGTGGACTGGCAGAGCGGAATCAGTGGACTTGAATATTTTAAAAAAGCCTGGCAAAGACGGGCTGGGCGGAGCAGACAACTCGTCCTTCTTGCTTACGGAACACAAGTCGAATAAGTCAAATTGCACCTACCGCACGGTGATTAAGGGCAGGCAGTGTCCTGAAATACAGCAAAAACGTGTGTAACTTGTGCCCCACCACCATATTCAAACGAAAAGGAATTAATAAAAGTATCAATGCTAAGAATCTCGGACGAACAGCTCCTGCCCTTATAGCCTGTCCCGGCAAAAATTCCTTCAGATTTGGCCCAAATCAATTCAGCACAGGAAAAACAAACAAGCGGTGGATGCGGTTGGAAAAAAGTTATAGGTCTCCTCTTTGTGTGAGAAACTCGGACACAGAACTCTCCCCATTTCCGAACAGTATCTTCAGATTCTACAGTTTTATAGTCCGAAAGGCTCCGCAGGGAACGGAACAGAGAGGAGGTGCAGTGGAGGATGCAAGGGTGTAAAGCAAGGAGAAGGGCGAGGAACCCCATCGACAACACTCTCACAATACTTCCAGGCCCGTTCCAGTCTTCCGGTCATAAACTTGTCCGTCTCTTCCTAACTCCCACAATGAGAGCGGGAGAAACAGTCCAACCCAAATTTCAATAGTTTAAGACAAAAACAGTAAGTTTTACTTTAAAATCTCAAACAAAGCAATTTGGAAACTTTTGCCCGAAATTTTTTTCCTATTCTGATGTGGTCGCTCCTTAGATAGCAG